TTCTGTCCTCCAAAGTCGCTTGGCAGGCGGCATTCATTAAACGAAGACTATGTTGTCTTGGTTTTGTTTTCTTTAAACAAACCTCATGGAAATTATATATCCAAAGGTGCGTTACTCTTTGATTTTAAACACTACGTAATCTTAGGAAAACGGCAAATCCAAAAACGATTACAGAGGATGCCAAATTGGCAAACTGCCCGGGTCCCAGTCCCCAGGTGAGACCGGAGGCCGTGGGTAGAAGGTGACACGACCAGGCCACAGCAGTTTCAACAGTGCTCTTGTTTCTTTAACACTGACCACTGAATGGATATGAGATCTTTTTAAAAATCTGTCCTCCTGTGTCCAGGGGACGCTCAGTCTGTCGTATGGCATGTGTACGAGTTCCTTTTGGTGACTGTCCTAGCCTGTGAAAATACATTTGGGTTGTTTTAGACTTTATTCACATTATCCATTCCCTCTGCATTTTAGTCTTTCTGTTATTTACCGTCGTTTATATACCGTCCTTTTATTTCCTAATGTGATAGAAAACACACCCGTCCCTTTCACTCAACCAATGATAGAAATATTTTTCATCTACTTACAATTTTCTAAATGTACTCTGTAATTTCCCGTCGTAATGTCTTTCCGTCTTTGCTTTCCCCTTGTCCCTCGTCTCCAATAGAGTGTGTCCAACACAGATGAGCCAGCTGACAGTCACTACCCCTTTCTCCTTCTCCACCACTTGTAACTAATCTAAGGGGGCCATGTGACTGCGTGGGCTGTGGGCTTCCAGAAAAAGACGTTGGAGGCACCTATGTTCGCTGCATCCCCTTAGGCCTGTTTCTTCTTTCTGCCTGGAAAGTGGAACATGATGACTAGAGGAAGAAAAGTCATCAAGCAACTGTGACAATGAAATGCCACACATTATGCAACATGGAGCCAAACCATGACAAGAGCATAACTGAGCTCCCATAGTGGCCATGGAGTGCCTACTCCCTTATTCCTTACTGTTAGAGGTAAATACAGCCATTGTGTGAAGCACAGCATTACGCGTACACAGGTGCTTAAGTCCTACTTCTAGGCGATCTTCTTCTCAGATTCCTTTACTTAAAGTTTTCTCATGTCCTTATATGCCCACAACATGTTTGTGT